ATTTCTCAATTGGTGGGATTGATCCATTGTAGGTAATATGACTTTTGGTGGCTTCTATCCATCTTACACAAATCTCGTGCTAGTAGTTTGATTTCTTGTGGCTTTTACCTATCCAAGATTGATTCTTGTTCTCTTAGGATCAATCTTTGCTGTTTTGGTTGCTATTGGCTTTCTATTGTTGTTGATGTTTCTGTTGCTTTCAATGGAATATTGATGAAGAGGCAGATTTTTAGGATCTTTTTTGAGATGTTGGCAAATATGGCAACATTATGTGGTATGTATTCCTAGATATGATTAGTGGTGTTATGAATTGATAATGAAGCATAAAAGAAGACTATCTCTAAGTTAGGGTGGCACTGATGAAGCCAGGAATGGTTGGTTATATGGTCTATGCAACAATAACATAAAATGGAAATGCATATCATCTTCGTAAATTGGCTAAAGGGGATATGAGGTGTAGGTCAGGGGCATAGCTAGCTCGAATAGGGTGTTTGAAAGGAAACTAGTTTCCTAACTAAAGTGATATTAAGAGAATAATGTTATTGATGTCGAGGTGTTGTGAAGACACCAATCTTGGTGAGGTTAAAAACCCCACTAAGGTGAAAAATGGTTAGTTGGCCAAATCAAAGATACTAGAACCTCTCATTCTTTTGAAAAAAAGTCAAGAGAAAATAAGCACTGCTTATTTAAGAAAATATTTTTTATTTATTCTCAACTTGAATGTTTAATAATTAACCTAAAAGGGTTTTATATAACTATTACAAAGGAAAAAAGCCTTCTTACTTCTCCCATGTGGGATTATTACCATTTCTAAATAAAATAAGTAAGGAAGTAACCTAACCTAAACTTCATTGAAGTACAGGTAAAGTAAAAGATAACTAAGGAAAGACATATATAGAAATAATCTTCCCTAATTTAATGCCCAAGTAACCTAATAACATACTCTTGTATCATTTTCCTTAGATTGGAGAAAAATTGCCTTGAAGATCCACGTTTTCTTCATTTTCTCCATAGTCAAGAGAGAGATCAACTATGTTGAAGGTTAAAGAAACTTCATAGTCTCCAAGAAGCTCTGGTTCCTATAAGCATTCTCATTAATATGTTCCAAGACTTAGAATGGTCCATCAACTCGAGGAGATAATTTTGAATGACACTTAGGGAAACTTTCTTGCCTTAAGTTAATCCACACTAAGTCTCTTTTCTTAAAACTAACTGGCTTTTTATGCTTGTTGGCTTGCTTTTGGTATCTACTACTTTAACAAATAATTTTCTCTTGAACTTCTTCATGAAGCTTCTCGATTTGCTTAGCATGTTATTCAACATCAACACTAAATTCATGAGTTGTTGGTAATGCAAGAAGGTCTAAAAGACTAAGAGGGCATTTTTTATGCACTATTTCAAATGAACATCTTTCAGTGGTTTGGCCCATAGAATTGTTGTAAAAGAATTTTTCTTGTGCTAACACAAGATCCCATTGGCGAATGTGTTTACCCACAAAGCTTTGCAATAAGTTTCCTAAACTTTTGTTGACCACTTCTATTTGACCATTCGTTTGAAGGTGACTAGTTGAACTAAATTACAAGTGAGTCTCCATTTTCTTCTAAAGAGTTCATCAGAAATGACTCATGAACTTCACATCTTGATCTAAAGTGATAGTTTTTGGAATTCCATGGGGACACACAATTTCTTTAAAGTACAAATCAGCTATGTGAGAAGCATCATCTATTTCATGGCATGACACAAATGTGCCATTTCGAGAAATCTATTGATGAGCAACATTACAGAGTCTTTTTACCTTTGGGTTCTTAGCAAATCAAAAACAAAATCCATACTCACATTTAACTGAGGAGATAGTGTTTTGTCTCTCCCAAAGTGTCCAGCTAATCCTCCATTATGAGCTTCCCAAATAATAGATTGGCAAAAAGAACATTAAGGGATGCATAATTAGTTACCTTTGAAAATAAACCCTTTTTTCTAATGAAATAACTAATAAAGATACTGAGAATCGTACTTTCATATATCTCCAAATTCAGGATCTTTCTCAAGCAGTTGTTTGACCTAACATTGTAACTCTTTATACTATTATGGACTAATGCGATAAAGTAGAGTTATTTGGAAATATAGAACTAGGGATAAGATTAATGGCATGTTGAATGTCTCATATTGATGGCAATTCGTGGGGTATCTTATCAGGTACAAATCATAAACCTCTTCAATTATGGCTTTGACATCCTTAGATAAAGGTGAAATTACTTCATTTTCATCACAAATTACTTCATTCTCAATTGGAAGCTTTAATGTTTCCACCATTTAGTTGGCAACAATATTATCATAGCTTCATTTATCAATAATGACATTGCAAACCTTCCCTTGGGATGTGCACCTTGTATAAAAGATGTTGTGGCAAAGCCAACTTTCATTTTCAATCATCTTAGCAATGTTGAGGTTACGACGAACAATAAGAGCTCATCCATGGTCGGTAGAAACTTTTTTTGTCTCATCTTCGTTGACTATTTTTAGCTCATCCTCTATTTCTTCCATGTTAGGTTATTCCTTAATTTCTTCTTTTGCTAGGGAGATAATTCTTCGATTTGGACAATCAGAAGCAATATGCCCAAATCCTTGGCATTTCAAACACTTCTTGTTGACATTAAAAGCACAAGTAAAAGAAGTTTTGGAAGAGTTTACCTTTGATGGAGGAATGGTTACCAAACTTTGTCTCCCACGATTTAAGGTCGAATCTTTTTGTCTAGATGAACTCACTGAGCTATTTCATGATTGCTGTTTCTCAACCTTTAATGCTAATCTGATGACATCATTTAAGCTCCAATATAGTTGTAGTTGAACAACATATGTAATTTCAATATTGAGATCTCCAAGATAACAAGCTTTAGCTTGCTCTGTAGGTTCATGGACATCTCAATTTATGTGAAGTTGTTCGAACTCCATTGTATATTCCTCCATAAACATTGTTTTTAGTCTCAAATTATGAAATTTAATAAAAATTTCTTCTCGATAGTGCTCAAGAAGAAACTTACATTTAAGTTCTTGATGCATCTTATCCCATGTTCTTATCTGATTGCTACCTTTTCTTTGTTGATGTCGTTTGAAATTTTCCAACCAATTAGAGGCATATTTTTTTAATCTAATTGTAACAAGCTTCACACGTTTTTCATCAAGAACATCTTTGAGCTAAAAAAACTTTCTAATGTGTAGAGTTAGTAAAGAAAGTCATCAGAGTGAAGTTTTCTTTCAAATTTAGAAATGTCGACCTTAATTCCCCAAATCTCTAGTAGTAATAGTTCTTAGGCAACATATAGATACCTCTTCATCGGAGAATGATTCTTGATAGAAAGGTTGGTATTATTCTTTTCATCCCTAGAGTTACTACTGTTAATTTGAGCAACATCACATCGAGCTAGTTGCTCTTGTAATTCTAGGACTTGGCAACGTAGTTACTTAATCTCGATCTCATCAACATTTCTTTGACGATCATTTTGATGTCTTGGTGGCATTTTGCTGGCATAAATAAGGACGACAATTATGGCAATGGTGATATGGCGATGGCATGGTGATGATGATGTGGTGATGAAGAAAAAAATGATGATAGAACTATAAAACAAGTAAATAGACAAAATTACTTGAACAAGGAGAGTTGAAACCTAATAGTAGCAAGAACCCAAACTATGCAGTGAACAATAATCATCCCGCTTTTATACCAAACAGACGCTTGGACGTTGTGAAAATACCAATCTTGTTGAGGTTCAAACCTTATTAACGTGAACACCAATCTTGGCAAAGCTTGAAAACCACTAAGTGAACAATGGCCAAATCTCACTTTGTTTGGCCAAACTAAAGACACTAAAACCTCTTACTCTTTTGAAAAGAGTCTAAATAGAATAAGCACTGCTTATTTAAGAAAATATTCTTTATTTATTCTTAACTTAAATGTGTAACAATTAACCCAATTGGATTTTATATTATTATTTCTAAGAAAGAAAGCCTTCTTACTTTTCCCATATAGGATTATTACAATTCCTAAATGAAATAAATAAGGAATTAACCTACCCTAAATTTCCTTAAAGTATAAGTTAAGTAAAAGATAACTAAAGAAAGATAATTATGAAAATAATCTTCCTAACTTAATGCGCAAGTAACCTAATAATATATTCTTGTATTAGTTATCAAGTAGGGAAGAGGTTAACAGAATGTTTTTACATGGTTAACCTATAAGTAGTTCTTTGTTGTGCTTGCTGAAAATTAATTATGTTAGATTAAGTCTTTTGCTAATTTATGTTGCTGGCTAAAAACTTATCTTAGCATTTTGTGCTTTGATATTAAATTAACAATACATTAAACCTATAAGTAATGAATTGGTGGGCGCTTAGAGTTTCATAAGCCAAGTTCGATTTAGTTCAAAACATTGAATATTGACAAATTCAGTATTAAATTTTTAGGTTAGAAAATTTAAAATTTTAATTTATCAAATACAATTTGTTTGGTATAGTATTGAAAGTTAAATATTGAGAAGATTTTTTTATCGATTCTTATGTAAATGAGAATTTTGATTTTATAAGTATTTTACAGTAATAATAATTAAAAAAGAAAGAATACATGAATAAAAGGAAAGAGTATAAGACTAATGTATTTAAATAACAATTTTTTCATTAAATAAATTTAAAATAAATGATTTTTAAAATAAAAATATCAAACGCATTGGAAATAATTAAATTACTGAAAATTTTAATTTTTAACAATTTATCAAACACGCCATTAGATTTGGGTGGACATTGGAGAAAAAGACACAACCCTAGTGGATAAGTTTATTGGGCTTCTGCCTCTGATTGATTTTATATTTTATGTAATACTTTGATATCTATTTACACATGTGATTTTAGAAATTTAATAAGAGAGCTAAAATAATTACTAACTAATATAATAAATAAAAAATAAAAAGATAGGAAACAAATATTTTGAATTTGTTTTTTTTTTGGGTTTTTTGTTGTTGTCTTTTCTTTGAGTTTGAAAAGGATTTTCTATCAACTAAAAAGTCACATGTTTCAGCAACATAGAAATGTGAACCTCCATGTCCAAAATTTCAGCCTAACCAGTAAGTTTTGATTCTATACATGGAGAAGGCTAGCTCCCATAGACCATCATGTTCTTCATGAATTTATGGGAATTTTTATGAAACACATGTATAGCTGTGGGCATCCTAATATCCACATTCCCTTGATTTTGCAGTCCTGATCAACGATTGAGGGAGAAATATGATTCATCCTCCATATTTCCTCTAAAGATAGCTGCATTCACTTCACCCATGGTTGAAGAAAAGTCTTCATCGTCCCCCTCTTTCAACTGTTCAATCTTTTGCACAACCTCCTTCAACTCCGGCCTTGTCTCGAAATCCTCTTCACAACAGCTTAATCCAATCTTCAAAAGGTTTATCATTTCACCTTTGCTGTTCTTTGTTCCTGCCATCTCCTTGTCAAAAACTTCACTGCTCTTTTTCTCCTTGACCATCTCATTGACCCAATTGGCTAAATTTGTATTGCTGTCATAACTTGGCGTTAGATAGTTCTCTGGAAACTTACCGGTTAAGACCTCCATGATGAGTATTCCGAGGCACCACACATCAGTCTTCCTGCTTATGCGGCCATTTATAGCATACTCTGGTGATTTGTAAGCAGTCATGACCATGTGAGCCTGCTCCTGGTTGATCACTGGCCTTAGGGCATAATCAGACAGCAGAGGCTCCAAATCCTCGTCCAGAAGCACATTGGAAGATTTCAAATGACCATGGGGCACAACTAGGCTAGGAAGCTCGTTGTAGAGATAAATCAAACCCCTCGCCACACCCTTTATGATCTTCAACCGAGTCGGCCAATCCAGACCAGGTTGATCTAGACTATGGTTAGCTGGAAAAGGCAAGGTTCAAAAAGCTCAAGTTAATCAGCAGCTGAAAGTAGCACTAATAGTCTTCCACTGGTCTTATAATCCATACCTACTAACCACTATTACCTGAACTAAGTGCACAAGCAGCTTTGGGATTAATTAAAACTGTAAAATTATTGGGGTTTATTTCTTTCATAAGCACTCTAGGCAAATTTGACCAGTGCAAAAGCATTTTAAACCTGATTATGGGAAGGGTGCTGCTGAAGCCTGGAGCTGGACTTCACTTAATTACCAGGTTTCAAATCATTTAACAAAGTTGATATGGCATCAATAATCAATCATCTTGTCATTTTAAAGAACGATTAAGAATCACAGACATGAGCCATTCGAAAACTTACCATGAAGATGACCAGCCAAGCTACCGTTCTCCATAAACTCGGAAATCAACAATTTCTCCTCTCTCCTATAGTAATAGGCCACAAGAGGCAGCAAGTTCTGATGGTTCAACCTTCCCAATCTTCTCATGTGCTCATGAAAATCTTCCCTCCCCACATTGTTCATTTGCTTGTACCTCTTCACCACCACGGCTTCACCATTCAATATACCGGCCTTGTATGAAGCTCCAAAATTCCCACTTCCAAGAACCTCTGCCGAGGCTCTAAGCAGGTCTTGCAAGTCGAACGCCTCCAAATCATCTTTCAAAAATATCAACTTCCCATGGTCAGGCCTCTTCATCACGCCACCACCCTCCGACACTTTCTTTTCCCCTTCATCATAAGCTGGTAGCTTGTTCGAGTCATCAAGATCAGTTGCCTGTAATACTTTGGATTTTTGTTTCTTCTGCGGGATAATGAAAATAATTGCTGCAATGATCACGACAAGCAACACTATGGATACCACAATCAATGCAATTTTCAGATCAGATATCTCTTTATCTAGGGATGAGAGGACAGCTTGGGGGCTGGCTGAGGGTTTAGGTGAAGGGCTAGGCGGGGGACTGGTGAAGGTGCATGCTTGGAGAGGTTGCCCACACAGATTTCTGTTGCCTGCGTCACGACAATGAGAGTAGATATGTTAAGAAAATGAATTGACATGATTTGTCAAGCTCCATTTGATTTATTACTTTTTAACATGATTTCTGTCGCTACCTGAAAACATGCTTGCGCCCATTTTGCTTAAGCTTGCAGGGATAGGTCCCTCCAATTGATTGCTAGCCAAGTTCACCACCTTGATACTCTTGTGCTTAAAATCAGGTATTTGGCCAACAAATTGATTTCCCTCCAGTCTCAAAATAACAAGCTTAGGCAATGTCGTTAGCGATGAGGGAATTGCACCAGAGAAAGCATTATTTGCCAAAAACACTTTCTTCAAAGACCTCATCCCTTTGAATGCATCATTAGGAATCTCCCCGGTGAAACGATTGTTTGACAAATACAAAGCCTTCAAAGCACCCAATTTCCTTATTTCTGGCATTGTACCCTCAAAATTGTTGTTCATAAGGCTTATTGTGCGCAAGTTAGGCAATGCAGCAAGGATATCAATATTCACTAGCCCTGCTAGCCCCATGTTTTCAAGTTGCAAACCCCATATTGTATTATTAAGGCAAAGCACGCCGATCCAATTTGCTTGATCCTTGTGGCATGGGCTAATAGAAGCATTCCAATTGCTAAGAGCTGATGGGTTTGCTAAGGAGTCCTTGAAGGTTAAGAGGGTCTCCAAATCCGTATCACCATATGAGATGGCGACCAATGATAACAAAGAAACAAGCGCAAGAGCTAACGATGGATTTGGTGTGCGCACAAGCCTAGCTATGTGCGCCCCCATTAGCATTGCCACAACGTCAAAACAGTGGCTAAAAAGCAAGAAGGAGAAGCTTCAGCTGGGGCAACGAGGATTGATTGCATCAGCTTCTTCTTTCTTTCGTTGCCTTGCTTTCCTTGTTCTGTTTTCTCTCTGGAGAAGGAAATGTGGGGGGTCAAGAGAGGGAAGAAACGGTGGACAACGTACGTAACGCCAAGAATAGAAGTTTGTGAGGATTTTTGTTAGAAAAAGGGTTAGAGGAAAAGGGTCCTCCAAGGTTGGTGAAATTGACTAAACAAATGCTATTTTCCAACCTAAGTTAAGATTTTGTGGTTTAGAAGCTCAGCTGTATGTAGGAGAGATCTAAGGCCAGCCTTTGAATTCTAATTATTTTTGTACACTAGAAGTTGGGAGGTTTAACTGTTTTCTCCATTTATAGTTTATAACTAATCTTGTTCAGTATCTTCGTGTACAACACGTATATATATTCTTTTTCTCTTATCTTTAATTACTTATATATATATATATATTCTTTTCTGGTTAATCTTTCAGTAAACTAACATGCTTATCTAGGGCATGGTTACCGACTAATAAGCATATGCACTTCTTTAACTTTTTTTTTATTATAGATAAAATTAGTTTTAACTTTTGGTACACCGAACATCTAAGTTTTAAATTTTTTGTTCTCTTCCATATTCTGGACTTTAATTTTCCTTTATGCATTTGAATAATGTCAGGAGGAAAAGGGTGATTGGACCCAAGTCCTAATCCTCACTCTACAATATAAATAAGCAAGCAGTTAATCAACATCAACCATGCAAAATATGCACATACCAAACGACAAGCAAATAAATCAACTACACATCAATTAGAACAAATAATAGAGAGACAATACCAAATTTACAAGGAAAAAAGAAAATTTTTCTAATGTAGATGGAAAAAATCACAGGATAAATTGACGACAATTCATTATCAAGTAAATGAAGTAATGTTCTTATCTCAAGTTTTTTTCTTGAGCTTGAGACTCTTAACAATTTGGAAAAGTATCAAAATATGTCTCTAATAATAACACTACTAGATCTCACCACTAGGAGATTAAGTACACTAATTCTCCATGATTAATGCACCCCTAAATCATTTCAAAATGTGTTAGTATATGTGTTTAAGCCAATTGAATTGGTCAAGGAATATATATTATCATTTAATGCATACTTAATTGCATAACTATATGTAATAGAGGTTTTCCTTTATGTTAGTGCAATAATAAGGAGTTATTAAGTACTAATTGGATTAAGCCCATGAAACATAAAAGCCTTGCAAAAGAACTGTAAAGTTGTTATAATTATGAGATCACTATGCATCAAAGTCATATTTCAAAATTTATTCCTGATCATTGTATTATCAAGACAAGGCATTGACAATGCTCAAACATCGGTACATGTTAAGCCTCCTTACTTGGAAAGTAAGCAATCGATCCCATAGATTGAACTATATGGGATATTAGAAGATAACATATGGGTGCTTGTTAAAGAACAAGTTCACTGAAGATGACTTACTATGAAAACTCCGCTGGGTATTTTACTCAAGTGTCTATAAAATATGTTCTCATGTGATAGTCGTGCAACCAATCCTCAAACTTGAGATACTATGTCATCTTGTATGGAGAATGATATACTTTGATTTCATCCCTACGAGTCTACAAGTGACCAAATGATGGCTAAATTGGGTGTTTTTTGATATGCCATGAAGCATATGGAGGTGGATGAGTAGTTAAGAAAGGATTCATCACCCCAAGTGATATGAGGGGATATTTCTCAGTTGTTCTCAATTCTAAATTAACTTGTATAAAGTCTTTGGCCAAAGCATGATGAATTTGAGGAAAGTTACTTTCCAAAATTCATAAAGTTAGTTATTAATTATGAGAGCTAATATGGAATATCATAAGTAGACACTGAGCCATGTTTTATGACATGTCCAGGATATTTGATGAAAGTACCATATTGCAATAAGAGCCTTATCACTGAAGAACTTTGTCAAATTCTTTAATTAACTCTCTAACATTTGAGTGGTCATAATGTATTGTTAGATGTCGCTCATAATCTATAAATATAAATCAATTATTAAATTGATATTTGATTATGATTTATATTTGCAACCAATATGTTAGAAGCTTAATGGGTCACACATATTAAGTGACATGATTGAAATTAAAGAAGGATAATCAATTAAGTGGGACTTAATTGAAATAGACCAAAATAAAGTGAAAACATTAATTAAGTTCACAAAGTCTTAATTGAATAAAAAATACAAATATTGTATTTAGGGTTATAACTTAATTTGGCTACATAAATATATTATGTTAGCAAACTAAAATTATGATGAGAAAAAGAAAACCTTTAGCCACTTCTTGGTTGTTTCAAGAAAATAAGAAAAGAAAATTAATTTTCTTTGTCGGATAAAAATAAGATTCGGCTAGAACTTTTGATTTATTTTGTTTTAGAAACAATACTTGCTAGTATAAGAAAAATAAAGAAGTCTTATTTGATCACTGTGAGTGTGTTTGGTTCGCAAGAAGAAATTGAGTGGGAATGGAATAGAATAAAAAATGAATAGCTATTGTGTAATTTGGTTCACAGGAATGGAATAGGATAAGAATTGCTATTATGAATTATTCTAAATATTTGGTTGGCAGGAATAGTTTTAGTAATGACTAAGAAATAAGTGATAAATGACAAAAATATCATTCATTATAATATGTAATGTTTAAATTAAAATATTTATTTTAATATTTTATTAATTTATTTTTAAAATATTAAAATATGAAAAATTTATAATTAAAATTTTAATATAATTTTTAAGTTTAAAATATTAACTTTTTATAATGTATAATTAAAACTTAAAAATTTTTATTTTAAATTCATTTTAAATTTTTTTATTAAGTTTTAAATTTATTTTAATTTAGTGAGAGAAGGAAAGAGATAGTTGAGTAGAGAGAGAAAGAAATTGTAAAAATTAATAAAATGTATTTTATATAGTATGGTAATTCTTCAAATTAATAAAGAACATTTTTATCCATTAATGTTTTTACTCTAATCCTTGTCTCTTGGAATAGCGAATACCAAAGGGGATTAGTATTGACTATTTCTTATCTCCTTGAATGGCCATTCCTTTCAATCAAATAAAGTGTTAGAAAAGTATTAGGAATAGGAGGAATAGCTATTCCATTCCCCCCAACAAAATATGTTGTGTTTGGATTACTATTAGAAGCCAAATACTTAGGCAGTTGAAAATTTGACAAATCCTTAAGGTGAAGAAGCAAAGTTTTTGAATGCATGATTCCATACTAACTTATTCTATTTTTCGAGTTTCTTGTTTCGTTTCATTATAATCCCTTTTGGATTTAATAGGATCTTGATTACAATATCTAAAAGTATGTAATACTTAAACTTATAAATATTTATAATTAATTTAAAAATTACATGAAAAACATAAACACTGATCTTGTGAAATTTGTTTGTTTCTTTGATCAAATGCATATTTTATTTTTCTAGTGCATAATGTTTCTAATTTCATGATCAATTTCATGTTTGAGCATGGGGCTGAATCCCAACAGTGGTATCAAAGCCTTTACTTGATGTTTTTCATGTAATTTGCATGTTTGTTTCTTTGTGATAATCAATAGGATTGATTTGTGTGTTGATTTGATACATATAGGTTTTGAAGGCTTTCTTTAAATTTTGTTTTTCTATTTTAATTCAAATTTTGATAGCAAGTATTTAATCTACTAAAATATATTTTAAAAGGTTTAAAATCATGTTTAAGTGAAGAATTAATGAATGCATTGAAAGGCTTGCAAAGCCACTAAAACCGAATAGTTTTGAGTGTTTTGGAGACTAATATGCTGATTATTTTTGCTAACATTGGGCAAGCATTATGAGCAATTTTTTAAATTGTTAAAAATTAGTTTTACCAAATTAAATTACTGCATGTTTCAGCTAGACTTGATTTAGTATGAAAAGGTTGATTAAAGAAATCATGTTTTCAAGTTCTAAAACAACAAAGATTCAATGTAGGAAATTTTGGACAACTATGATCGGTTTTGGTGGCTTAATTCTCCATGAATTTTGTGTTTAATTGTTAAACACACTTGTTGAAAATTTTCAGCAACCTTGTTCATGTGTTTGACTCATGATTTATAGAGTTTTAAGAGTATTTTAACACCATCTATTTTAATTTTGGGTAATTCATAAAGAATAGGAAATTGTTTCCTACTTAAAGTGAATTCCTAAAATTATGGTTAGCATTTTAATTTGGGAGATTCTTGGGAAATTGTTTTCTACTTTAAAAGGGATTTCTAAAATTATGTGATATCATTGAACTTTCCTTAAAATTTTTTATTTGACTAGAACTTTCCAAAATTTGTTAAGTTATCATTTAGGTAACTTGAACAAAATACAATTTAGGAAACTAATCGATGTTCTAAATGTTAGAAATTAAAATGTTGTCTTAAATACATTTTAAGAAGCTTACCTAAAATAAAGAGGTTTTCAAAATTAAAAGGAGTTTTAATTATGGGAATAATAAAACTGGAAAGTCCTAAAATGGAAACTTTTATTTCGATGGATTCTATTTAAGCAAAAGGAGTAAAAGTTTTACTTTAAGTGTTTTGAAAATGAGAATTTCTTAAATACTAAATTGAATGAGTCTACCGTTTTAAGTAAGATAATTGATGTTTTTCTCAAATAACACACAAAATCACTAGGTGATATTGAGCTTGCATTTATTTTTATGCTTTAGATTGTGATTATAAAGTATGAATATGATTATAGACTTAAACATTAAAAGATTAGGTTATGGATGGTTAAATTTACTTCTCATGGAATTTATTTTGAAATAGGATCTGCGTACCCCGCCTTACTCTTATTTTCTCTAGGGTTTTAAAATTCTTTTCTCACTTAACTTCCCTCGAATGTAACTTGAGGTTTCTTGATTATAAAATGTAATTAATTATATCAAAGTGTAAAACTAGGGTTAGATAAAAAAAAATTGTAACTTGAAGATGGAGATTCAAAGTCGCCATAAAGATTCAAGGAGATTACAAGCAAAGCTAAAACACAATGTTTGTAAAATTTCCTAGGAATTTGATCAACTAATTTTCTTAATTGCTCGAGGAAATTAAACTTAGTAAAGTCCATAATCATCCTAGTAGTTGGCATATGATAGATTTATATTTTAG